CCCCCTACCTGCCAAGTTATAGAAGCCACTGCAGGTGTATGGTGTGATCTGACCAGCATGCGGCAATTGCTTTGAAAATGTTTTTTCCTCCATTTTCCTCTGAAAATGTCACTTTCGATAAATTCACATCATTAATAAGAGCATGGCAGAGCCATGGGGGCCATGTGCCATTTGTAGCTCTCTTTCAAAAACAGGTTAGTCGATGTGCCATCTATGGTTAGAATTCCTTACATTCCTCAAAAGTGTCCGTTCCACTGAAACAGCTCCGCTGGCTGTGACAGAAGCCGTAAAAGGAACCAGAGCACCAGACAAGTCCTCATCCTACTCGACCTGTTGGCTGAATTTGACACACTAAACCACCACATTAAGAGCGAAATCCTGGTTTGAACTGTGCCTTAACTGGTCGGTCATTCAAAGTACAGTAGAACCTCTACATACAAATTTAATTTGTTACGGGAGCTGCCTCATATGTTAAAATATTCGTAAGGTGGTTCAAATATTCCCATAAGAATACGCAGTAATTCGTATAATTCGTTCCACAGCCCCAAAACCTACGATAACTCTTCAATAAATACTGCAGATGATTACACATAGCATTAAAACAAACGCATTATATAAGAGAGATGTGAAAATAAATAAATTATAAAGAAGCAATCAATAAAAAGGAGTTTTTATCGGTACTTTACCTTAGAGACTGGCGAACGTGTAGGCTTGGCGATGCAGAAGGAGACGGTGTGTGTTGAGGTAGAGGTGGTGACTGAGATACAGTACGTACCATAACTTACTGTAAGTTTCACTATCTGAACCTTATTTATTTTGATTTAACTTGTATATTTTATAACCGCTTGGACCACGCAACGCTTCGTGAAAAACTTCAAATTTACTTCAGGTGTCGAGTCAAATATTTAGACTTAGACAGTAGACTTAGACAGTACTTTATTGATCCCTTGGGAAGACTCCCTCAGGAAATTAAGGTTACCAGCAGCTTAAAGGGCAAACAGTGTCAAGTTAGAATCAGTTTAAGCAAAAATATACAAATAAATAAATAAAAATACAAAAAATACAGATTAAGTACAGTGTATGTGTATGTGATCTCTCTTCCCCCTGTCCCGTGTCACCTCCTCGCCCCCAGTGAAGTGTTGTACAGTTTGATGGCGTGGGGGACAAAAGAGTTCTTAAGTCTATTGGTCCGGCACTTGGGAAGCAGCAGTCTGTCACTGAACAGGCTCCTCTGGCTGCTGATGACGGTGTGCAGAGGGTGGCTGCTGTCGGCCATGATGTCCATCAGTTTGTTCAGTGTCCTGGCCTCTGCCACCATCACCAGAGAGTCCAGCTTCATGCCGACCACGGAGCCGGCCCGCCTGATCAGTTTGTCCAGTCTGGACGTGTCCTTCTTGGATGTGCTACCTCCCCAGCACACCACGGTGTAAAAGAGGACACTGGCTATCACAGACTGGTAAAACATACACAGTAGTTTGTTGCAGATGTTAAAAGATATTTGATCAAATTTCACTTCGGATGTTGGAAAATTCGTATGTTCAGGCAATCGTAAGTAGAGGTTCTACTGTATACTGTCTTGGACACACTTCTGCAGCACACCAACTCACCACAGGTGGCCCCCCGAGGTTCAACATGGCGATTGAACTCTTCTTTCTGCCATTTACACCACCTCACTGGTTTCCTCACCATTCCATGGCCTCTCATACCGCTGCTATGCTGACGATACTTATCTCTATCCGTCATTCCCACCAGACGACCACACGGTCTTGGCATGTTCCTCTTACACATCAAAATGGATGAAAGCCCATCACCCATAACTAAATTTCTCTAAAACCGAACTGCTTGACTTCCCAGCCAAACCAACCATGCACCACAACATTCACATCCAAACTCAATCACCATCTCTTGCTCTATCAAAGGCAGCCAGAAACCTGGATGTCCTGATTGGTGACCAGCTGACCTTTTTTGTTATTCAAGTTTTTTTATTTTCCTTTAAACAATCAAATAACTACGATACAAAGCTTGCATGGTATAGTGTACAAAAAGTAACAGCTTAAAACACATGGTCAGACAATTAACATAACTATAAGGATAAAAGCAAAAATAGACGGTGTTCCTGGATGATGAAGGAAAAACAAAAAACAAATAATAATAATAATAATTAAAGAATAAGTAGGTGAAAAAGATCAAATAAAAAAGGGTCGCTACTGAGAGGTCAGGTAGACTTGAAAGAAATACCAATTATTTAACACCACCTGTCCTTTGCCTCTCAGTCTAGTTAGCATAACCTCATATGAAACCGTTTCAGCCATTACCACTTTCCATTCCTGGAATGTGGGGTGTTCGGGTGCCTTCCAGTGTCTCAATATAACTCTTGCAGCTGAGGTTAGCCCAACCATCAACACTGAGTGTACCTCTTTTGTGAGCTGTGGTATTTCTGTTTTGTCTTCAAGAAGACATAGACGCGGACACAGTGGGAGAGTTATGTCCATCCATGTCCCTAGGAATTTAATTATCTTGTCCCAGAATGGTTTAACCAAGGTACATTCCCATATAAGGTGTAGAAAAGTTCCTGTTTCTTTTTTACACTTCCAGCATATATTACTATTTATTAGTCCTATTGTAAAAAGTCTGCATGGAGTCCAGTAGAGCCTATGTAGAATTTTATACTGAATAAATTTACACCGTACTTCTTTGATATATTTACCATTATCGGCCAATATTTGTTCCCATGTGTCTTTGTCTATATTGCATTCAAGGTCTCTTTGCCAGATCAATCTTAAGTTTTCACATGAGCTACTGGTCAAACAAACTGTTTTATTGTAAAACACAGAAGCCCCATGCTTAAGTGGCAATTGCAGAAGCTGCAAAATTACATTGTCTTCTTTTGTTGTTAGATTTATTTTCAATATACAGTGTCTAATCTGCAAGTACTTCCAGAAGTCACCCTTTTCTTGCAGATTATACTCCTGTACAAGTTGAGCAAATGATTTAATAATACCTTCACTGAAAAGGTCACCAATAGTGTGGATTCCATTTTCTACCCACTTTCTCCAAAACACAGTGCGTTTACCTATTTTAATTTCGGGATTGAGCCACAATGAGGAATACTGCTGTTTGTAATGTGAGAGTTTGTGTAGCTTGTGGATCTTTGCCCACACTTCCTTAGAGTGTTGGACGACTGGATTTTTGTCCTCCACTATGCCAGTTACCTGTTGGGATAACAACTGTTTGTGGTGAAATGGTGTGGCAAGAGTCTGTTCTATATTGACCCAATTTAATTCGGACGCATCTCCACTCCAGTGTTTAGCTATCTTGGACATTTCAAAAGACACGTTGTACAATCTAACATTAGGTAAACTCAGCCCGCCTTTATCCTTGGGTGCATAGAGCTTATCCAGTTTAAACCTGGGCTTTCTCCCCGCCCAAAGGAATTCCTTGATGAGATTGTCATATTGTTTAAATATATTTTCAGGTATACTAAGAGGGAGCATCATGGATATGTAGTTGAACTGGGGGGCGATCACCATTTTTTCAACATTTATTTTACCACATAGGGTAAGGTTTAGCTTTCCCCATTTACCTATGTTTGTCTTGATTTTTTGAAGTAGCTTATCATAGTTCAACGCAACAATCTCACCAAGGTCTGGGCACAACTTAATGCCCAGGTATACCATACCTTTTGGAATCCACCTAAAATTGTACTGTGCAATTATTTGTGGGTGACAATGTTTGGATATTGGCATTGCTTCAGACTTGGTCCAATTGATTTTGTAACCTGAGATCTGGGAATAGTCACTGATAGTTTGCATTAGGGCAGGTAGGGAGTTTTGCGGGTCACAAGTCAGAAATAGAATGTCATCAGCATATAACATTAATTTATGCTCACTTCCACCTCCATGTACTCCTTTAATGGCGGGGTTTGCTCTAATGGCTATTGCCAGAGGTTCCAAGAAAATTGTAAACAACAATGGTGAAAGAGGGCACCCCTGACGTGTTCCTCTGGAGAGTTTAAAAAATGGTGAGGTCACGCCATTAGTCATAACCGCCGCTTTTGGATCACTGTACAATACTTTAACCCATTTCATGAAACCGGTTCCAAACCCAAACTCTGACAGGGCTGAGTAAAGGAACTCCAGCGATACCCTGTCATACGCCTTTTCCGCGTCTAATGACATGGCTGCCACTGGCGCAGTGCTGGAGGAGTTCAACCACATGAGGTGCATCAGTCTTCTTATGTTGTCAGTAGAAGATCTACCTTGTAAGAAACCCACCTGGTCATGATGTATTAGGTCTGGCAATACTGTTTCTAGTCTCAGGGCAAGCACCTTGGCAAGTATTTTGCTATCAACATTAATTAGACTAATAGGTCTAAAGTTGGCAGGGTCTGTATGATCTCTGTCTTTCTTTGGAATTAGGGAAATAAGTGCTTCATTCAGAGATGGTGGGAGGGAACCAGTATGCAAGGCCTCGTCATACACTTTGGTCAAGACTGGTGTGAGGATATCCATGTACTGTTTATAATATTCCACAGGGAATCCGTCGGTTCCAGGTGACTTCCCTACTTTCATAGATTGGATGGCCTTCTTCACCTCTTCCTGGGACACTGGTTTATCCAGATTACATGCCTGTTCGGCTGACAACCTTGGGAGAGTTATTTTGTGGAAAAAGTTCTGTAGTGATAGATTACTTGGCTCACCTTCTGAACAATATAGCTTCTCATAGAAAGTTTTAAAGACCTCATTAATTTCTGTGGGAGATGTTACAAGTGCCCCATCTTTCCGTATGGCAGGGATTGCATGTGCAGAATTGACCTCTTTTAGCTGTCTTGCCAGGAGCTTCCCTGTCTTCTCTCCCGCCTCATAGAATGTTGTTTTTAGTCTAAACAGAGCATATTCTGCCTTTCTATTGAATATTTCCTGTATTTGAGATTTACATTTACAAATATCATTTAACAGCCTATCAGAATATTGTTCTGCCAGTTTTCTTTCCATTATGATTAATTCTGCCTCCAATTTTTTGACTGTATTGGTGTGTTCTTTTTTTATTCTAGAGGTATGCGCTATAATTTTGCCTCTGATGTATGCCTTCGACGCCTCCCACACCATAGCAACACTGTCCGTACTACCCATGTTTATCTCAAAAAATGATGACAGATCTATTGCCAGTTCCTTCTGAAAAATGTCATTTTGAAGGATGGAGGTATTCATCCTCCATCTACCTCGTTTGAGTTTTTCTGGATGTATTTTAACACAGAGTTCAACGGGCGCATGATCCGACAAAGAAATGGCATTAATTTTGCAGTCGATGACATCATTGATTAGCCCATTAGACATCAATATAAAATCTATCCGCGAGTAGGATTTGTGGCAATGGGAGTAGAACGAATATTCCCTCTTACTTGGATTAACCATACGCCATATATCAATTAAACCATTATCTTTCATTAACACCTGGATAGCTGCTCTATCCTTAGGCACTGCCGTTCCTGAAAATCTACTCTTATCTAAAGCACCGTCCAGAACCTGGTTAAAGTCTCCAGCCAACACTACCTGTCCATGTGCATTCCCCAAAATGTTATTAACCTCATGGAAAAAAGCTGGCTCTTCTTTGTTGGGGGCATAAATATTACAAAGTGTTACTTTCATGCCATTTATGATAGTGTCAATACAAATAATTCTACCATTACTATCTGCATATTCCCTGACTAGTGAGAAATTTAGCCTTTTGTGTACCAGAATAAGAACACCATTTTTCTTGGTAGAAAAGGAGCTAAAGAAAACTTGCCCCACCCAATCTCTTTTAAACTTTCTGGCCTCATCATCTTTTAAGTGAGTTTCTTGAATAAATGCTATGTCTGTTTGTTGCAGTTTGAGATATGAAAGTACCTTTTTCCGTTTTACTGGGTTTCCACATCCATTAATGTTCCAGGATACAACCTTAACAAAAGAATTATTTGCCATTCAGGATATAATAAAAAATAAAAAAGCAAATATTTGGCATACAAAAATAGTTGTAACGTGTCTGACCCTCATAAACTTGTTCCATGTTCAAAGCTGTTGTACATTCGTTGAGTAATTTCAAAGTATCCTTAACTTTTAAATGAACAAATACGACCAAACTGGTCAACACAACCCCCCCCTCAAAAAAAGGTGAAAACATATTCCCACTTTTAGAGACTCCTAGAAAATGGAGACTCTTCCTTAAAAATGAGTCCAAGTGTCCAAAGAAATTAAAAATAGAATATATATATAGAATATAATTAAAAAAAATAATAATAAAAAAAAAGAATTTAGAAAGAAAAGAAAGAAAGCAAAAAAAAACAAACCGAAAAAAAACTCCTTATTTGGTCTGTGGAACGTCCGACTAGTGTCCTAGCTTAAGATAGCCACACCAACCATCCGGCCACACCATACCTTTTTCAAAGTCTCTCAGTAGTAGTCGAATAACCATCGCTGCATTAATGTTCACCGTCATCATCTCCCTCCTCGAATTCCGTCCCCGTAACACGTTGCTGGATGAATTTCTCCGCCTCCGTAGCATCTTGAAAGTTTAGTTTCCGCCCCCTCCAGGAAAACGTCAGTATCGCAGGGAAAGCGAGTGTGAATCTCACCTTCTTTGCGTGCAGCAGTCGTTTGGCCGGCGTGAAGGCTTTTCTTTTATCAGCCAGACTTTTCGACATGTCAGGGAAAAACGAAAGTCTGCACCCATTCCAAGTTGCTCCGTTCTTCTCCCTCGCCGCTTTGAGAACTTTATCTCTTCCAGAGCTGCGCAAAAACCGGATCATGAGCACTCTCGGGGGTTGGTCCTCATCTCGGCGTGCGGCTGGAGAACGATGCGCCCTCTCCACTTCAAATTCACCATCAATGACAATCTTTAGGCCCTCAGTTAGGATCTTTTCAATGCATGCCTTTATGTCGTCCCCTTCGCTGCCCTCTCTCAAGCCCAACATCCTAATATTATTACGACGGCTTCTGTTCTCTAAATCTTCTATGCGGCTCCACAGCGCATCAATTCGCTGGCTGTGTAGTTCGCGGTCGCGGGCCAATTGCTGTACGGTGTCCTCGGCGTCGGATATTCTGGTTTCTGCCTCAGTCAGTCTTACTTGCATGGCACTAACAGCGTTTTTCAATTCCGTTGTCGTTTCTTTGATAGTTGACACATCAGTAGCCACTGTTTTGAGCGTGGTACCCATTTTAGTCACTTCAGCCAGAAGTTTATCCATGCTCGTATTCTGTGGAGTGCTAACGTCACTGTCCACGGCAGGCTTCCCACGCGTGCCTGTTCCCTTGGAACATTTCGAGGATGACATTGTGCTAGGCTATATTTCCCGATGAAAATTAAATAAAAATGATGGCTGGTTGTTGACGATTTCCAAAAAGCAAAATTATAAGAGAGATATGGACGGATAAGTTACATTTTTCCGGTGTGGCTTACGGACAAGTTTAGTGAGCAGCCATCTTGCTCGGCGATCCCACGTGACTCCACCAGCTGACCTTTAATGATTCCGTTGCCTCCATTGCTCGTTCATGTCGCTTTGCATTACAATACATAAGAAAGATCAGGCTAAGCCTATGTAGCGTGGAAAATTCATTCCACCAAAAATCCTTAATTTTATATT